AGGGATACACCTGCCAGTACATTATGTTAGTACTTTGCAACAGATCCATACAATGAAAAGCACTTAAAATAAGTTAAACCTAAAAGATAAACCTGCAAAGAACATCTTGGATAAGATCATGAGTACTCGAACAGGTTTCCACCATATTATCAGCCACAGTATAATCTGCAAGATATTAGAAAGAAAGAAATAATCAGTAATGAACATCCACCAAAAAGGTATAGCTATTTAAAAGAATAAAATCCTTGTTTCACATGTTTCATGGAACAGTTCCACGAGAAAACATAAGCCTTTGTATGCCTAACTGTGACAGTGAGCGTCTCACCAAGAAATGCAGTCATGATGAAGTATCTTCAAACAACAAACATGTCTTCCTATCAATGACACTTCATCTGATGTAACCAAAGATATGAGTGGTCTCAACATTTTGTGATATACATGGCATTGTACCAGTTTTAATTTCTTTTTTTCTTTTATCATTAAAAGGTTGTAATGTTAATAATCCAGCAATCAGAAGGTGCTGCAGACCCCTTGAAAGGGAAATATTTAATAATTACTGATGCTCATATGGAGGGTTGCCATTTTTGTTTGGGAGGTGGATGGGATGGCAAGGGAAATATGTGAACTACCCCATGAACGACATGACTAGATTTTGAACTCATGCTGGGTTAAGAAGAGGTATCGAGCCAAGCTGAAGCCTTGTTGAATAAATGAGAAGATTTAAGGCCCATTTGCCATAAGATCTTAAAGACTGTATCCAGTTGTATAATTGATACGGTTCAAGGCTCATTTACAAGATGTTTCTTGAAGTGCTGCTTTTTCCCAACTACTTACCTCTAAGTTTATGCTGGATTATAGAAGCTTCGAGCCCAACTGTAGCCTGTTTGTATGATTAAGTAAACTCAAGGCTCATTTACCATTCTATGATCTGCAACAGCCACGATGCTTCTCCTTTCCAAACACGTACCGCTAAGTTTATGCTGGCTTAGGTAAAGGCTTCAAGCCAGGCTGAAGCTTGTTTGTATGATTAAGAAGACTCAAACGCTCATCTATACAATTTTATGATCTTTAACAGCCATGGTGTTGCTGTTGAGTTGTCCCACATCGGTGGGATTTGAGGTCTTTGGTCTCCTTATATGGTCTTGGCCAATCCTCACCTCATAAGCTAGCTTTTGGGGTTGAGTTGGGCCCAATGTCCATTCTTATTATGGTATTAGAGCTAGACCCATCCTAATTATTGTTATTGATGTTAGGCCCCATTTATATTGTCCGCGCTCCAGTTTGCAGGCCTGGGCGTGAGGGGGGTGTTGAGTTGTCCCACATCGGTGGGATTTGAGGTCCTTGGTCTCCTTGTATGGTGTTGGGCAATCTCATAAGCTAGCTTTTGGGGTTGAGTTAGGCCCAATGTCCATTCTTATCGGCTACTCCTTTCCAAGAACATACCACTAAGTTTATGCTGGCTTAGGTAAAGGCTTCAAGCCAAGCTGAAGCCCCATTCGTATTATCAAGAAGACTCAAGGCTCATCTATCATGTTATGATCTTTAACAGCCACAGTGCTGCCCTTTCCCTTACACATACTGCTAAATTTTATTGCTTGATGCCATCCCAACCTCTGCTTCATATTAATTTGGCTCTTTCGAAGCAGCTTCTGCAACAAAACTGACGCAGATAAACAAATGATGGTCCGTTAGCAAATTGCAGAACACGTGTCCAGATGCATTCTCTCCTTCTTCCTTCATCGCACAACACCCCCCC